AGTAATACTACACATACATCATTTTCATACAACATTATGTGGTAAGATATGATTGGCTAATTTAAAGTTAAAATTAAACTTTCACCCAATCACATCTTGCCACATAATGTTATATGAGAAATGTTGTATGAAAATGATATATGTGTAGTATTAAACATATACTAATATGTTATCTATGTATTTCATTTATGTTGGTGTGACGTTATCTTTATTGATTGATTATATTGTAATCAGTAATGCTACGGACATCACCGAAATTTTGTATCAATGTGGCATCTATTAAGAAGCGGCCACATTAGATAGAAAATATTGATTTCATGAATGGACGGCCATCCATCTTACACGGACGGTTGTCCATATGTTATGCACAACCGTTCATCACAAATGAACGATCGTCCATGATAATATCAATGGACTATCGTCCATATAATATGGACGGGTGTCCATTTACTATAAATAGATGTCCATCTAAGATGAACGTCTGTCCAGAAAAGTTTAAAAACAAATAATGGACGGGCGTCCGTCTTATATGGATGGGCGTCCATATATAATGGACGGCTATCCATGTAAGATAAACGGTTGTCCATACTCAAATTCTAGTTTAGTAAAAAAATTTCTTTAAAATTTTCAATAAGAATGTTTGAAAATTTAGGGCTCCCAAAACAAGTTTTAAAAAACAAAAGCCTTCTGCCACCGTTCTTTGTCTTCTTCGTCTCCATTTGCCGCTGTTCTTCTTCTTCTTCGTTTCCATCTGCTGCCGTTCTTCGTTTTCATCGTCGCTATCCTGGACTATGACACTACATTGTGAGTACTTTTTATCTAGTTTTTCATTTCTTTTTTGCTTTGCATTTTTTTTATAAATGAAAAAAAAAAAAAATTTGAGTATGGACGCTAGTCCATCTCATTTAGATGGACGACCATCCTCATTAGATGGACTTGCGTCCATACTTTGTACTTTAAAAAAGTTTTTTTTTTTTTTTCCTTTTATTTCATGTAAAAATTTTGTGTTTTAAATATGAATATTTCATCTAAAAATTTTGACGCTTATTTGTAGAAACGTCTTAGACAAGCTATAGGTTTTTATAAATGAAAAAAAAATTATAAATTAAAAAAAAAATTATTTGAGTACAAATTATATGGGCAACCATCCATATAATGTGGATGATCGTCCATAGTACAGCGACTCCAGTCCATAATATATGGACGGGAGTCTATTGATATTTTTTAGACTCTGGTCTATTCGTGATGAACGATCGTCCATAAGATATGGACATACATCCATAATTGTTGGACGACTATTCATTCACTGAATACCTATATTGTGTCGTACATGGCCACGTCCGAGTCAGATATCACATAGATTGGTGCAAAATTTCGATACCAACATTTGGTGTCCGTAGCATTTTTGTATTGCAATATGTTATATGAAAAATAAGTTAAGGCGCTCATAAATGAGCTAGTTTTATTATAATGTCCTTTTAACAACTCTTACGTAATGTGAAAATAAAAAATTAATATAATAATTAATAAAAACCTTGCTAGTTGTTTATTATTTGTACTAATTTCTTTTATTAAAAAAAAAAAAAAAAAAAATTGGTGTCATAAGTATTTTGTTCCTTGTTTAAAAATCTAAACATTATAAATGACTTGTCGTCCCATTAAAAAGGAAAATTACTTTTTTAAAAATTATAAACGACATGTCGGTTCCCATTAAAAAGGAGAAGTGATAAACCCTGCTGTGCTGCTTGGACAAAGCTAGGGTTTTTGGTAATCCAGAGTTATTCCAGACCATGACTCGACTGAGAACGGACCAAGTTCTGAAGGACAGCAAGACTGGCGACCCTGACTCCATTACGTCTCTCGCTCTCACTCACAAAGCTCTCTCCGATGTACTATCGACGCCGTTTTTATCATTCTCTCACTATCTCAAACCCTACTTTTGCCAACACTAATCCTTCAATTCAACATGTTTCAGGTTTCTTGCTTGAGCGATTTCAAGAACTTGGAGCGACTTGACTTGAGCTTCAACAACCTCACTTCTCTTGAGGTATTTTTAATAACATTTATGCCCGGATCATGGTTGTAGAAATGAAACTGAATTTTATTTGCTTATTTTTATGTTGTATTCAAAGGGATTGAAGTCTTGCGTGAATTTGAAGTGGTTATCGGTTGTGCAAAACAAATTGCAAAGCTTGAAAGGAATTGAAGGACTTTCTAAGCTTACTGTAAGTTTCATTTCATTTGCTTTTCTTCATTCTTTTATAGGTTAATTGGTTTGTGGAGTTACTTTGCCTTGTCTTTGTGCATCAGGTGCTAAATGCGGGTAAAAATAAACTTAGGTCAATGGCTGAAGTTGGGTCCCTTGCCAGCTTACGTGCTTTAATATTGAATGGTAGGTTTGGGAATCTGTAGCATTTTATGTTTTAGTTGTTGAAGGTGATCACTTTGTGCTCATTCTTGTATTGTGACTGATGGTGCAGACAATGAGATCGTTTCCATTTGTAGGCTTGATCAAATGAAGGACTTGAATACACTAGGTATGAATTTTTAGTTCTCATTTTGACACCATTTTGTATGACTTACTATGTTTATTAATGGATTGACATGGCATGCTTTAGCTTAAGTTGGCAGACAATGAGATCCTTTCCATTTGTAGGCTTGATCAAAACAGACACCATTTTGTTTATTTAATGGGAAGCTGGAGAAAATGGAGATGTAATCCTAACAAAACATATTGGAGGTAAAGGCAAAAGTTGTTGCAACTAGGGGATAACACGATCCGAGCCGAGTATCTGTTGGCTTGAGCTCGGCTCGTAAGCTACAGTGGCGGGTTCGAGCTCGAGCTCAATCGAGCTTGAAAACTCGAACTCGAGCTCGATAGCTAGAATGGATGCTCGAGCTCGAGTTCGAGCTCGAGCCGGCTCGAACTCATGAACTGCTCCTGTATGTGATGGAAATTGCAATTCTGGAGCTCTAATTGACTTCTGATTCAATACAATCTTGCAGGACACAGTCAAGAATTCACTCAAAACATAACCAAGAATCTCTCCAAAACAACAATGAACATAATACAAAACATTAACAACAGCCAGCCATCTCCCAGCATCAAACATCTCCCACCACCTTAGAATCTAGCATAACTCACAATAAAAGCCACCATAAAACCCCTTCTAAAATCCACTCAAAACTCACCATATTGTCGGTCAGATCTGGCCTCCGTTGGCCTATGTGGGCTGCCATATCTAGCCAGCCACATGGACTACACGATTGACCAGATCTGGCTGGCGTCGTAGCCCAAACGGCCATCCATATTTGGCCTTCTTTATGGCCTCGGTCAGCCATGGCAGCCATGGTAAAAAGAAAAAAAAAATGAAAGAGAGAAAAATGAGAGAAGAAAGAATGAGGGAGAGAAAATAGAAAAGAAAGTAAGGAAGAGGAGAAAAAAGAAAAACAAAGAAAGGATGACAATGAAAGAAGGAAAAAGAAAAAGAGGAAGAAGAAGAGACGGGATGAAGAATATAAGGGAAAAGAGAGAGAAGAGATAAGGGGAGTGAATATATATATATATATTTTCAGCTTGGCTCGGCTTGCGAGCTTGGCTAGCCAAGTATCCAGGTGTTCGAACTCGGCTCGCCGGTTGAGTTGAGCCGCTAGAGCTTGACCTGAGCCCGAGCCACTCGTGAGCAGCTTGGCTCGGCTAGCATCCCTAGTTGCAGCTAACCTCATACAAGACAAAGCAGGTTGAAATGAAGAATTGATGTTGAACTTAGGATCCACTAATAGTTTTTATGTATAAAGCTCATTGGCTTGTAGGAAGACCGGAATGACAGAATCATCTCAATCCCTACATAGGCTGCTACTGCCAACCGGCTCAAAATCCCTAGATTAGTGTCTGTTTTCTGTTTTTCTCAGGTGCCTGTTAGGAGGTTTCTGGTCATATGTAGATTCTACAGGCATCACAAGGAAAGGCCTTGGAGTTTTTCAAGGTGTAATTTGAGGCCTGGCTCCCTCCACAAGTTTTCTTAACATAACAAACATACTCCAAGGTTAATAAGATTGTTGCTGCAGCTTAAACAGCAGGATAATTTTTCTTGGTTATTATTAGGTTTATCAGGTCCACCTCAGTTCAAAAATGGGTCTGAACATATAGGGTAGTTGGGATGGCAAAGGAGTTGGGCAGGGGTAGGGGCAGGTTTGCCTTACGATCCTCATACATGTTTCCATACTTATACACTTATTTCAACGCTTTAGACTTTCTTGTTTAAGAAAAAAAAAGGTTGAAATTCTAATTGGTAAATGTAATTCTTATAACATAAAGATAGGTAATTATTTTTCACTTCTATGTGATACTTATTTATATAAGTTTTCTTTATTTTCTTCAAAAAAAAAAAAAAATAATAATAATAAAAAAATAAAAAGATAAATATATAAATAAAGCATATAAGTGTTCTTTACTGAAGTCATCAATAAAAAAGGGGCTTGCTTGCGGGATGCCATAGCTTTAGCGTCAAGGGAGGTCTGAGTGGGAAGAGAGGATTCGGTGAAGTGGGTAAGGGACTTAAAAAAGAAAAGGATCTAGAATTAATTGTGTTTAATAAAAGATTGTTGGCAATAATTTCTAATTTACTGTTGACAGCATTTGCTTTTAACACCTACATTGTATCCCTTATTTATGTGAATTGACAAAAAAAAATTGAAAAAAAAAAATGGAGATGGTGTCAATCCACGTGAAGGTTAGCACATGTTGTGTAAAGAAACAACAAGTGTTATAGAGATTGAGTTAACTACTGCTGTTATCTAGTGCAATCTGATGGATTTGACAGAGGAGTTAAAAGTAGTTATTTCCAATGTCAATATACCAACTTCTTAATTATTGAATTGCAGTGGATCAATTAAGGTAGTTATTGTTTATCTATTTATTTTTTGAATTTGAATTTGCCAACAGTTCTTGATTAATGAAATGTTTTGGTCTCAAATGAGTAATAGAAGTCAAAAAATCGAATTGAAAATTGATTATTGGAATGAAAGATTGCTTTGTAGTCAATAGAATCTAAATGATGCTCATTTTGGGATTCTTCTGTAGTTCTTTCTAGAAATCCAATCCGTGAAATTGGTGAGTCTCTGCTTAAAATGAAATCTCTAACGAAGGTAAACAATTCTTTGGTCATCTTTTGTCTTCAGCTACAATTTAGCATGAGTGTAGCTAAGGCTGCTAATTTCTCTTGTGCCAGCTTTCTCTCTCTAACTGCCAGGTTGAGAGTGTTGGTTTGTCACTCCAGTCCTGTGCTGAACTGAAAGAACTCAGACTTTCTCACAATGATATTAAAGTATGTGGTCTACTCACTGGTTCATTCTTTTGAAAGCCAACATTTGATCACTAAATTAATAAATAATTGATTAGATTGCTTTCATCAATTATTATACAATTGACAACATTTGATCATTAAGTTACTTATAGCTTCTTCTGTTCTCTGTGATTTGCTTAGGCTCTCCCAGCTGAGTTGGGTTATAATAAGAAGCTCCAAAATTTGGACTTGGGAAATAACTTGATTACCAGATGGTCAGACTTTAAGGTGAGAATTGAGGAATTGAACTTTTTGTTTCCTTTCTAGTTTATTATTTGTATATCTGAGATATTCTTCACCACATATATTGACAACATGCATTAATGACAGGTGCTAAATTCATTAGTTAGTTTGAGAAATCTCAATCTACAAGGCAACCCTATAGCTGAAAATGATAAATTAGCAAAGAAGGTAATGAGTTTGGCATGTTTATCTTGTTGATGTCTTTGAAGTCTAGCCTTGCATTCCTTTCAGGATGATTTTGAAATCAATAATATTGCAGGTAAGAAATTCATTGCCAAACTTGCATGTATTTAATGCTAGACCGATAGATAAAGGCACCAAAAATGATAAGGGAGACATGGTTGATGATTCAAAGAGTGCTGCTAAAAAACATAAAGTTCATTTGGCAGAGAAAAGAGATCACATCAAGGAAGTGAACTCCAAGGGACATGTGACTGGTCAAAATGAGGATAATCAACTGATGGCTCGTATTAATCTTGGTACGGGAAAAGAATTAAAACGTAAAAGGAATGACACAAGTGACAAACTCTTGAAGAAAGAAGTTCAGCACAATAAAGAGGATTTTGCTGTTGAAAATAAATTAAAAAAGAAGTCAAAAGAAAACCAATGTTGTGTAAAGGATGAAAAGGGAGATGGGCATCTAAATGGTTCTAGACATGTTGATATGGAGAAAGGATCGGAGCAGGAGAGAAACAAAACTACCGACAAGTGCGCAAAGAAAGAAGTTCCTGTCAATGTTGATAGTAAGGGAGTTGAAAAGAAAAAAAAGAAAAGGTCAAAGAGGGAACGAGGTGAACTTGATGTGATAGATGATGGAGAAACTTCTTTTGCAGACCTTTTCTCTGCAGATATTGCTGAAAATCCCACATTTGATGGGGAAGACAAGATGGTTGATGAAACTTTACGGTTGAAGTCGGTGGATGGTTCAGTTGCCACTTCCGCTAAGAGAAAGAAAAGTAAAAACAAGGGTATGGCTGCTGCACTTGAGTTGTCTCAAGGAGTTGAAGTTGGATTGGGAGGGCCATCAACATGGGGTGATGACTGATAAGTGTGATTATTCTGCAAAGGAGCTGAGTGAATGTTTTGTGTGTTGTTGAGTTAGATTACTCTCATTTGAGATGTCTTCTATGAGTTTGAGTTTGAGTTCCTAGAAATTCTTTAGCATTGACTGAAAAAAGTGACTCGTGACTCTTGTAATTGATGAAATTTTGATCATGAGATTTTTATCACTGTTTTTTTTTTTTTTTTTTTTCTCTGAGGGCTTTTGATGCTTTACTTTCACTGTGGTTCTTGGGTCCAAGTGTATTCTGTAATACAGTTCTAGCCTACTATTGGAGCAAATACAAGAGCATCAATTTTTTTTTTTCTTTTTGCATAAATCATAATATAATTTTTGAATAGTCTTATCAAGAGTCGAGATTCAACGATAGTGGTATAGTTGTTGTACATAAGAAGTGACTCAACTTATATTAAAATTAAATAATTTAAATGTATCAATCTAATAATTCTAAATTGTGTTAAAAGTAGTGTATAAACTTTTATATCTATGGCTTTCAAATGTTTTGAGTGTAGAAATTCATTTGCAGGATTATTACAAGATCTTAAGGGTATGTTTGCATAGTATACAGTGTATTAGAGCAAGGGATTTTTGATATTTTTATATTCATTGTCGTTGTATTTTTAATAATTATTTGATAATATAACGTTTTGCGCTCTCATACATAGAACACATGTTGGTTTCAATAAAGATTTGTTGAATGGTTGGATTATTTGAAGATTTGATAAAGGATGAGGCATAATGCATTACGTTATGGACTATATCACATAAATTTCATAAGAGTAATGAAAATATCCATCATACTTTATCAAACCTTCGAATAATCCAATCATTAAATTGAGACTTCTATCAACAAACCCTTTACTGTAATACACCTCAGAAAACATTATAATCAAACAATAATAAAATATTCAAGCAGTGCTGTACAGAAGAGGTACCAGAGTTAATTAAAACAAAAGAAATAAGAGCAATTGGGTACTAACAAAAAAAGTTCTCTCATTCTAATATCAACAGCATATGCAAATTGAGGAACCAAATTACATAACTGATTAATAAGAAGAAAAAAAAGACAAAGGTTCTAAAATTAAGACAATCCTTCATTATCCAACACGAAGCATAACTTTGAATCTTGTCGAAAGGACCAAAGTCTCACCAATCTCCCTGATTGAAGTTGATTGGCTTCATTATCCACCACTTTCTTAATCCAAGCTCCAATCAAGTTATAAGTGTAGGTTGAACCCATTTCCCATTTTTTCAATTCCAATTCCACCATTTCTGTGGACGGTGTAACTACGCAAACCATTACCCCTTTCTTATCATCAAGAATCTTCATCTCCTCTTCATCAACGAAGTCACAGTTGCTCATTTTCTTCCTCGGTATCGATAAACGATTATTTACCTTGGCTACATCCGTTTGTGTCAATCTTTTTTGCATAACGAACATAGTTTTGATACCATTCATCTCTTTGATAACCCTTTCGATTTTTTCTGGCATCTCGGGTTCCGCCTCTAACTCCAATTCTTGTTCTGGCCTTTTAACAATCTCCTTGCAGCCAACCCTTCTCTTCTTTTTCATTCTATTTTCCTCTTCTTTCTCCAATGTTATCGTAATACTGCTACTCATGTCTGATGCTACAGGCTCTTTTTCAGTTAAGCTTCGTGTAGATTGAGCAACCTTCTTCGCCCGTTTTCTATTGGATTTTTTCTTTTTAGGAAAACAGTCTGCAGCACACAAGAACTCAACTCCACTATCATTCTTGATCTTAGGAAACTCTAGTTGCAGTTGTTTAACTTTTGCGGCTTTCTTGGAGTCAACGAAACCCGCTATAAACTCTGAAAGAATTCTTTCCGTGAGTAACCTTTCAAACTCAGATTCATCAGTCGTAACCTTTCTGATTTCTTCCATGATTTCAGTGAAAGAATCATTGGAATTAGAAATTTTCGCTTCAACAAGATTAAACATCTTTCTCATTCACCTGGTCTTTGTTTTCTCAAGCTTTGAAGAGAAAGCACACAGCTCACAAGAACGAAAACCCTCTAAACCCCTGAAGAAGTTTCAGGATCAGAACACTATTCGAAACCTTAAACCCTTAAGACTGTGTAAGTAGGCTTTCAATGAAGTGTTATGGGTTCCACAAGTGTTTTGAATTTATAAGTCTAGTCCTAATCCTGTCCCAAGTAGGATTCCTATTTTGATGGTAATTAAATTTCCTAATTTGAAACTAATTAAAATTAACCCAACGCTGATAAATTTGATTGCTTTTAGAAGTTTGTTTCCTACTTTCCTATTCTCTTCCTAAATAGCTAATTAAATTTGAATTTAATTAACCTAACCTAACGGCAATATTTTTGAATTTAATTGGTCTTTTCCTATTACTGTTAAATAAAAGTGTATGTATTTTTTTTGCAATATTCATTTAATAAAAACTTGATTTACATTTTTTTTTGTAATAGTTCAAAAATAATATTAAAAACATTTATACATACGGCTTTCATTGTAACTTTTGATTTACATGATCTATCACAAGACCCTAATTATGCTATTTGTTATTATATAGGTGCATCCACCAATATATCTTATACATATTTACAATTTATGATGAATTGTGATCTGTATGTATTAGTAAAATGGTTATCAAGTTTGTGACATAACCAATAAGTTTCAAATACTTAAGATAAATATATAATATGGTAACAATATGGATAATAGAGTATTAACTTAAACTTGTAATATTAATTTTAATAAGTTGTTTCATTGTTGAATTATTTTACATTAGAGGCCTTTTAATTTAAAGTTTAAACTGGGGGCAGGAAAAGCGATTGAGCTAGGTTTTTTATATTATATTATTTTTTATGTATCTTAAAACCAAACGGTTTAAAGTTAATATTATTTCTCTTAATTAATGAAATCTTCAAATAATCCAACCATTCAAATGAGACTTCGATCATTCTATCAAGAGATGTATTTTAAACCAACAAGGGGTTCAATGTATTCAAGTGGAAATAGTATAAATATTATTAATACTAGAAATTTAATTTCAGAGTTAAATTGATGCTATTGGCCTCATCAATTATCTGATCATAGTTACAAAAAAATTATTTAATTTACATAATTATCGTCGAATAAAATTACTGAAAAGATAAAGGACATTGAATATAAAATATCCATATAATTATATAAATATGTTGTTAAAAAACAAGTTAAGCTCACTTTTTAAAGCGGTATTACTTAGTCTAAAAAGTAATGAATGATAGGTGTTTCTTCATATAAATTCAAAATACTCAGCAACTATAACGGCGTTTAAAAAAAAATAAATCAATTGAAGACCCAGTAGTATACAATAAATCTGTTGAATGAACATATCCTGGACAAAAAGACAACGAAATCAAACTCCTTCATTATCCAACACGAAGCATAACTTTGTATCTTGTCCAAAGTCTCACCAATCTCTCTGCTTCATTATCCAAGCTCCAATCAAATTATAAGTGTAGGTTGAACCCATTTCCCACTTTTTCAATTCCAATTCCTTGGAATCGATAAACGATTATTTACCTCCGTTTGTGTCAATCTTTTTTGCATAACGAACTTAGTTTTGATACCATTCATCTCTTTGATAATAATCCTTTTGAATTTTTCTGGCTTTTTAATAATCTTGTTGCAACTAGCCTTTCTCTTCTTTTTCACTCTATTTTCCGGAACGCTATTGCTACTCACCTCTGAGCCTACAGGGTCTTCTTTTGTTAAGCTCTGGACAAATTGTAGTAAAGATTCAGAAACATTTTCTGCCCGTTTTCTATTCGATCTTTTCTTCTTATTAGGAATACTATCATTCTTGTTCTTAGGAAACTCCAGTTGGACTTTGTTATCTTTTGCCGCTTTCTTGGACTCAATAAAACCCGCTATAAAATCTGTAACAATTCTTTCCGTGAGCAACCTTTCGAATTCTGATTCATCATTCGTAACTTCTCTAATTTCTTCCATGAAAGAATCATTGCAATTAGAAATTTTCAGTTCACCAACATTAAACATCCTTCTCTAACCTGATCTTTGTTTCCTCAAACTTTGAAGAGAGAACACTCAACTCACAACCACAAAAGCCCCTTTAAACACCTGAAGAATTTACAGGATCAGAACACTTAAATCCTAAAAAAGACTAGACTGGGTAATTCAAAGTGTTATTGCTTCAATAACCCTAATCTTTTCCCAAGTAGGATTCCTATTACATATGTTTCCTAATGATAAAATTTGCTTTTAGTGGCTTCCTAATCTCTTCCTGAATATTTGATTTGCATGTGAATATCATACTTGGTTTGATTAACCTAACGACAATAGATTTGATTCTAATTGGTTTCTCCTAAATATATAGTTTCCTAGTAACGTGCACTAATTTCTTAAAATATGATAATTTGACTCTCTAGTAAACAATATGACGGCTTAAGTCTTTGGCTATTGCCCTTGCTTTAAATATTATTTTTAAAGTAACTTTTGTTAATGCTAAATATAATTTTATGTATGTTTTGTAATATTTAGATAGAAATATTAATTTATTCATTTAATAAAAACTAGCTTTCTTATTTAGATATTATTTTTAAATGTACTTGATTAACATTTTTTCCGAAAACTTTACTTTGTTAAAAAATAATAATAATTATAATAAACTATTAAATAAATGAGAGATCTTATTGTGTTTCATGTTGAAATTTTTGAATAAATAATTTTGTTATAACAGATAAATTATCAAATCAAACAACTAAAAGGAGAAATAGAATTTCGATAATGGTAAACATACATTATCATAAGAATAATTTTTCTACAAAGATAATCCAAACTTCATCCAGATATCCTTCTTCATGATCAACATATTAGATTGTTTAATTCATCTTGGGGATTGTAATTCTTTCAATTAAATTGTTATATTTGAATTATTGTCATTCTAAACTGAATTATTGACTTGGAAGGAAAAATGTCACCAAAATGAAAGCAAAGATTTTTCGATTAAAACAAGGACCAATGCCATTTTATTTATTTATTTTTTGGTATTTTAGGAAAAAAATCACGTTTCTGCCTCGGAATCGGAATTCAAGAATTCTCTTTGGTAGATTGTTTAAAGTCTTGTTGTATCTACAAATCACGTCTCTATGATCAACATAAGTCTTGTTATGAACAAAATTATATAAATTTTTTTTTTTGTTAATTCAAATTTTATATAGTAACCTTTTGTGTTATATTTGTTATTAAAAAAGGCATTAATAAATGATTGTAAAACAACATAATTTTAATTTTTGAAAGCAAAAAAGATTACACAAAAACTGCAAATAAAAAATCCTAATTTTTTAACAAATTAAGTGTTTAAAAGAGATTGATATTTTACACAATACAAGCTAGCTTAGGGATTCTGACAGAGTTCCTACTTCCTATTTAACTTATTTTATTTTATTTTTCTTCTCTTAAAAACTTTTGAATCTAGTGTTCCTACTTCTCATCATTGTCGAAGGTGTCGGAAAAGACTTATTTATACATTTATACATTATACAAACACTTTATTTAATCTTATTTTTTAAGTATCTAATATTTTCTTACATATATCATATTTTTATGTTAGTGATAATCAACATTCGTCTAATATTTTTGTTACATATAACCTTTTAAATGAAACCAATTTTATCTTTCTCAAGGGTATATAATAAATATCTACCCTTAAGAAGATTATTGAAATTAAGAGTCTTAAAATAAATTGAAAATTTTCTTCTATATCAATATTGAAATAATTAACGAGACGTAATTAAAACAAAAAGGAATGAGAGCAATTGGGTAATAACAAAAAATAAAAAATAAAAAAAATACCTCTTTTCAATATTAACAAAATATCCAAATTGATGAAGAACCAGATTTTTCATTATAAAAGGATCATATGACCCAATATTATACATTAATTCTGGAAAATGAATGAGATCTCCTTAATTAACAGCATATATATCTATAATAAATTCTGAACAAAGCACATAGATGATTAAAAAGATATAAAAGACAAAAATCAGCATCTACATTAAGACAATATAATGATCGAAGTACTTAACATCCTTGATTATCCAACACGAAGCATAGCTTTGAATCTTGTCGAAAGGACCAAAGTCTTACCAATCCCCCAGGTTGTAATTGATTGGCTTCCTTATCCACCACATTTTTAAACCAGGCTCCAATCAGATTATAAGTATATGTTGAACTCATTTTCCACTTCTTCAATTCCAATTCCACGATATCTGCAGATGGTGATGGTGTAACTAAATGAACCATTATTCCCTTCTTATCATCAAGAATCTTCATCTCCTCTTCATCGACAAAGTCACAGTTCCTCATTTGCTTCCTTGGAATCGATAAACGATTATTTACCTTGGCTACATCCGTTTGTGTCAATTTTTTTTGCATAACGAACGTAGTTTTGATACCATTCATCTCTTTGATAATCCTTTTGAATTTTTCTGGCATCTCTGGTTCCGCCTCTAACTCAAATTCTTGTTCTTGCCTTTTAACAATCTTCTCGCAACTAACCTTTCTCTTCTTTTTCAGTCTATTTTCCTCTTCTTGCTCTTCATTCTCCAACCTGATAGTAATACTGCTACTCACGTCTGATGCTACAGGCTCTTCTTGTGTTAAGCTTTGTATAAATTGAATTAAGGATTCAGAAACCTTCTCTGCCCGCTTTCTATTCGATCTTTTCTTCCTAGGAATACAACCTGCAGCACTATCATTCTTGTTCTTAGGAAACTCCAGTTGCACTTTGTTTTCTTTTGCCGCTTTCTTGGACTCAACAAAACCGTCTATAAAAGCTGTAACAATTCTTTCCGTGAGCAATCTTTCGAATTCTGATTCGTCATTCGTAACTTTTCTAATTTCTTCCATGATTTTCTTGAAAGAATCATTGCAATTAGAAACTTTCAGTTCACCAACATGAAACATCTTTCTCTAACCTCGTCTTTGTTTCCTCAAACTTTGAAGCGAAAACACTCAACTCATCAAAACCACAAAAACGTAACACACAAACCCTTTAAACACCTGAAGAATTTACAGGATCAGAACACTCTCCTGAAAAAGACTAGACTGGGTAAAGAGGGATTCAAATTGTTTTTGCTTCTAAGTGTTTTCAATTTATAATGGCTAGCCCTAATCTTGTCCCAACTCCCAAGTAGGATTCCTATTTTGATGCTAATTATTAATTAAATACGTTTCCTAATTGGAAATTAACTAATTAACCCTACGCAGATAAAATTTGCTTTTAAAGTGTTTTCCTATTCTCTTCCTAGATATCTAATTTGCATGTGGATATCTTACTTGGTTTCTTGTAAATTAAGTAACCTAACTACAATAGATATCTTAAAAGCTTATAATAATTTCACTGTGTTTTAAACACTATGACGATTTTAGTCTTTAGCTATATTGCTTGCTTTAAATTAATATTATTATTGGAGTAACTTTATTACTGCTAAACAATTTTTTATGTATGTTTTGCAATACCTGAGAAATTAAAACTAGCTTTTCTATTTAAATGTTTTTTAAGAAGTACTTGATTAATATTTTTTCCCAAAAACTTTAGGTAGATTATTTTGTTAAAAAATAATAATTAAAGAACATTACTATTACTATTAAATAAACGAGAGATGTTGATTTGTTGGCCACATGAGATGAGCATTGATTTGCTGGGTAGGCGATTTGAGGTTCGTGGTCAGGTATATGAGTTTTGTGTCGTTAGTTTTCTGGGTTTCGTTTGAATAGTCTTTTTGAAATGTGCTTCAATTTTTTTTAAAATATGAGAAAGTGGAGGAAAAGGGAAAGAGTTATGTGAATCCTTTTGTTCGTTCCTTTGGATGGAATGTGTTATGCCTAAAAAATCGGGCTGACGTGAACTCACGCCAGCAAAGGTTTTGTGTCATTTAGACGTTGTCACGTCGTACAAGGACGAAAGAGATAAGGCTATCGTCAATGCGGCAGGTAAATGCCAGGCATGTGAGTGGCTAGGAATTGTCCACCTACCCAAGCCCTACGCGATTTAAAGATGTCTCCTGTGCAGACAACCAATGGGAAGCAGGTTAGAAATTATACCACACCTGTCCGATTGCAGAATCATGATTACTACCTTGAATCTCTCAAATATAAATAGAGGGTCCTCTCTCATTTACGGGATTGACTCATATTGTCTAAAAAGATACACTCACTCTCCTTCTCTCTCTCTCTCTCTCTCTTCTCTCTCTCTCTCTCTCTCTATAGCTATATCTATATATATATATATATATATATATAAATTCTCTCTAGATTGTAATTCAGCTCACTATACGCGACCTAACTATAACCACCTATTAATACAACCATAGTGGACGTATGATTCGCTTTTGACCATCCGAATCACTTTAAAAACCGCTTCTTATTTATTCTCTTATTGCATATTTTCATATCATGTGTAATTTTTAAGTCCGCTTAGCACTTTGCACGTGTGAGTCATTGGTGTCAAAATCAAGCATCAATAGTTTGGCGCTAGAAGGAGGGTGCTAATTTAGTATCTGCTCTTCATCAGAACCTCTAACCGATTGGTCCTATCCATCAGCAAATGGCTTATGGTTTCAAAACTAAGCGAACTAACCTCGACAATGAGGAAATCCCCCAGGTACAGGATGACACTTCTCCCGAAGTGCCGCTAGTCCAGTAAAGTACTATGACGGATATTCCTTCGAGCTCACAACTCGACCCAGCCGTGATGAATTACCTGGAGAGGTTCAACAATACTTTCCAAATAGTTAGCCAAAGTTTAGACTGTTTGGATTAGGTCGTACCATTAGAGTCCAACGAGGCGGTGCCACTGCCAAAGACGCCTGCAGGTCATGCGAAAGTGCGGAAGAGGGCGAAAGCTCGTACCATGCGCACTGCAGTACGTAAAAGTAAAGGAAAGCAAGTGGCGAGTAGTGGACCGAAGGGCTTTGAGGGACTAGCGAACACCAGTTGCGCAACGGGCAGAATACTAGTGGCATTGTGACTCAGCGACATGTCATAGCATGAGCCGCCCCACGCCACATCGCATGGGCACTCCCACAAAAATGCAAGGTAGGGAGATTCCTAATATCGACGAAATGGTGACCTCCACCGTCATCATGCGAGAAACCCCCATCGTCTGTGGGTCGGTTTTGACCACCGTGGAGCTTGGGAAAACTCCCCGAGCCATTCAATGCCTTCACACGACCCCAATCAGTGTATGTCAAGGCTCACCGAAGCTTCCGGCCAAGCTGAGGAAGAGTCCGATTTGCGGTCTTTCCTCAACCGCAACCGTGAGGGTCAAACCCACGTTGCAGAAAGTGATCCTCAGGTAGCTCCACTACCTCAGATTGAGGAATTACAACGAGCTTTGGATCAACTTAAGGCTTAGTAGAATGAGCGTGGGAAGGTCGCTGAGGCGTCTCCCTTTTCTCCAGCAGTGTTAGCTGCTCTTCTTCCATCGAGATTCAGAATGCCTGACATGCGGGCGTTCGATGGAAATTCTAATCCGTTGGATCACCTTTACGAGTTCAATGACCTCATGGAACTCCACCAAGTCTCCGACTTGGCTAAATGTCATTGCTTAGCAGTAACTTTGCTTGCCTATGCCAAGCGTTGGTTCAGATCACTTCCTGCAGGATCAATCAGCTCATGGCAACAAATGAGCTCATCATTCTTGAGACACTTCCAGGCAAACAGGAAGTTCTCGATGTCGTTGAGCTATCTAAGCAATATACAGCAGGAGAAGAATGAATCCCTTCAATCTTATATAGACAGATTCCATAGGGAACTCCACAAAGTGGCTCACACTCCCAAAGAGTCCGTTCGGACTCTCATTATCTCGGGGGTTCGCCCGCAAACTGACTTGTGGAAAGAACTACAATCTAAGGATGATGTTTCCTTCACTTGCTTTTACGACCTTACTGAAAAGTATCTCCGAATAAAAAATTGCATGGTCACCCTTAATCGCCATGACCCCCGTCTTTCGACCAGTGCTCTCTACCGGGGGGAGAACAGTAGAAGGGCTGATAGCAGATGGGCTAATGACGATCAGTGGAAAGGAAAAAAGCACCCATTCGAGACCAAAAAATCTTATGCCCAAGTTCCTTGTCGCGACCGTGACAAAAGCCAATACACTCCGTTGAATGCCTTAGTGTTGGTTATTCTGGATAAGTTAGAAGAACCCAACATACTCGGAGAGCCAAAGCCCATGAAGAATCCCCCCTCAGCTAGGAACGAGAAAAAGTACTACCGCTATCATCGGGATAATGGGCATCACACCGATGAGTGTCAGGCTCTCAAGCAAGCAATTGAAGACCTCATCAAGCAGGGGCACTTTAAGAAGTATGTTGATGGTTTGACTCCCGTTTGGGAAAAGGATCAAGAGGAACAAGGGAAGAAGCGCCATGGTCCCAAGGGTCCCTACTATGTAGGGATCATCTTTGGAGGACCACACCTCATGGGGAATTCTCGAGGTGCCCAAGAAAGGTATGCTCGGGAAGCTCATCATGACCCCGTGAGTGTGATGAGCATGGCGTCGCGACCTACTAAGGTTCACAAGGAAGAGGAGATTACTTTCTCTGAAAAAGACGCGGTGCGATTGCATCATCCCCATAAGGATGCACTCGTCATCGCGTTTGAAATAGGTCAGTGCGAAGTCCACAGAATGTTGGTGGACAATGGTAACGTAATGATTATCCTATTTCAGCAAGCCTTCGAAAAAATGCAATTAGACGAGACAAACCTGAAGCCTGCCTCTATCCCTCTCTACGGTTTTACTAGGGATCATCTAATTCCCAGAGGAATGATCGAACTCCCTGCCACGTTGGGTGAGACCAACAAAATGACCAAGATGATGAAGTTTTTTGTGGTAAACTGTCCGTCTGCCTTTAATGGCATTCTGGGATGACCTCTACTGCGAAGTTTCAATGCAGTCACCTCCATCTACCATCTGAAAATAAAGTTCCCCACTCTGACAGAGATTAGGGAAGTAAAAGGATCTCAACGCGAATCTCACGATTGCTTCATAAGAGCAGTGCAGATGGCGTGTAAGGGAAAAGGAAGGCCGATAGGCATCCCCGAGTAGGCTATGGTGATCAACAAGATTGAGCCATAGCACGGCCTAGTAGAGGACAACATGGATCCTCGCATCTAGGAGTGCCCTCATAGTAGGCCAGTTGAGGACCTCTCTGAGGTATTGGTTGATCAAAATAAATCGACCCGAGTGTTAAGAATCGGGAGTAATCTTAACCCCCAGCTTGCCAAAAGCTTGACGAGATTCCTCAAAGAGAATGTCGATGTTTTTGCATGGACTTATACTGATATGATCGGGATCAGCCTGAATGTAATATGCCATGCACTCAACATTGATAGTGCGGTCAAGCTAGTTTGCCAAAAGAGAAGAGCCATGGACCCTGAGCGCTATGCTACCTTGAAAATTGACGTAGATAGGCTTCTTTTAAAAGGGTCTATTCGAGAGGCGTTTTACCCGAGCTGGGTTGTCGATCCAGTCTTGGTAAAGAAGCTCAATGACAAGTGGCGAACCTATGTCAACTTCACTGACCTCAAGAAAGCCTGTTCGAATGACAATTTTCCCTTGCCAAGGATCGATTAGCTCGTTGATGCCACCTCTGAGCACGAGCTGCTGAGCTTTATGGACACCTACTCAGGGTATAATCAGATCCCGATGTATGCACCTGACGAAGAGCATACCTTGTTCGTTATAGATCAGGGACTGTATTGTTACAAGGTTTTTCCCTTCGGCCTAAAAAACGTTGGGGCAACTTACTAGCGGCTGGTTAGCTATATGTTTTCTGAGCAGATTGGAAAGTCGATGGAAGTTTATATTGATGACATGCTGGTCAAATAGCATGTCGCTTCAGATCACATAGCGTATCTCACTGAGATGTTCGATGTACTTCGAAAGTACAGAATGAAGC